ACACAAAAAATTTACCAAAAATATATTGCTAATATAGATTTTAAAATATATATAAATATAGCCTATTTATATTGTCCATAAATATATTTAAAAAAATACATTTTGTATTTACCCAGAAAGCATTTTAAGACTGGAAATATATTATCTTTCCCCTTAGTACATTTTGTAACATATCTTGGCATTTGAAAGTGTAGGCTAAATATGTTTTTCTTAAGCTGTGCTGTTTACAACACACACACACACACATATATATATATATATATGTAGGGGCCAAAACTTTATAGTACAGTAGTATCTATAAATAGGGTATGTTAAAAACAGCCAGTCCTCACAGACCCTAAAAACACTGTTAAGCTAAGCCTGTTCTTTGTCTTCTGTCAGTGTTTGGATTTAGACCATTGTGCTCTAGTGAAAGTTTGTATCTTTGGGTCCAGAACAACTTCCAGTGACATGCTGTATAATCAGTTGAGGGAGCACACGGGGAGAAACAGCAAGGGGCACAAGTCATTGAGAATAGCTTGAGTTCAGATCAACGTACAAAATGCCGTGTGTCCTACATATCTGAATACTTTCACTGAGCCAGCTGGAAGGAAAGGAAATGTCTGTTTCTCTAGAACACTTTGTGCTCAAATAGGAACTCTAGTGATTTGATTATGTGCCATGAACTTTATGAACATACTCCTATTATTGTGTCAAATACCCACACAATGGTTTGCTCAGTTAAATGGTCTATGTCCTGAACCCTGACCAATGTTCTTATCAGACTTGGCTGTGAATGGATGTTAAAGGAATAGTTCACCCAAAAATGAAAAATCTGTCATTGTTTGCTTGCCCTCATGTTGTTACAAATTCATTGAAATAGGAATATTGTACTGGTCGTTTATTACAATACAATTACAATTAAAGAAAACTGGAGATTTTAAGCTTCAAAAAGTAGCTTAAAAGTAACATAAAAAATATAATAACAGTAGTCCATGCAACCTGTGTGCTATATTCCAATCTTCTGAAGCTATACAAAAACATTGTGATATGAAATTTTCAGTATTGACTGATAATCTTCCAGTCCAGTGAGATTCATGAACAAATCATTCAGACAAGTTTTATGAACCTACAGGGATATATATTTATGGTGCTTGTTTTGTAATTTTGAAGCTTGACAGCCACTCCATTCACTTTTATATTAAAATAAAAGTGAAATAAAATAAAACAATATTTGTCAATAATTCTCTTTTTGTGTTCTATGTAAGAAAAAAAAACATCATCAGGTTTTGAACGACATGACTGTTAATAATGCCACAATTTTTGAGTAAACTACGACTTTAAGATTACCCATTGATAAAATGTTTCTGTATTCTGCTAGTAGAGGCTAAATTGTGTCATTCTGCCCGGCAGGCCTCATCTGTCCTGTAGTGCCAATTGCTCATGTCCCAGCAGCACCTTTAACCCAGTGTGTGGGGAAAACAACATTGAATACATCTCACCCTGCCATGCTGGGTGCACAAACTTCACCATGGATCCCAAGAACCCTTATAGAGTCCAGGTAAATAAATCTAACAACCAAAACAGAATTTGGTCATGAAATTTCCATACCATTATCTCAAGCCAGAGTTCTAGCAAGGCCACTGCATAGATCTATCCATCTAGACCTTTATTTAGCTCATTACTGAAGCCGGATAGAGTCTCTGCTGTACTAGCGACACTTAGCAAATGACCGTTCATGGTCTGTTAGCGATCAGTGGGCTGAGTCCAATCAATCCCTAATTAGTAATACTTCCTGGAGGAAGTGCTTTGGGGACACAGAACAACTAAGAGTGTTAAAGCTTCTGTATAATTGCCCAGCAAGAGACTTACAGGAGCAGCTGATAATGAATTATTCTATATGACGCAGCACATATCATACCACGAGGTAATTATAGTGAGAAATAGACTTGGGTCTGGACTCCCTTGCTTGTTGAATTTAACAAAACCGGCAATCGAGGACACTGTGTCAGTGGAAGTCAATAGAGCACAAGGAAAGCCTTAGTGTTAGTATTAGCTGCATCAATGAAACACTGTTAGTTTTTGTTCTCTTTATAATTATATTATCCTTATAGCTATCACTTGTAATGATGTTTGTAATGAAGGTGAGCACTAATGCAGGGTTTCTCAACTGGTTTTGCTAGCCCACAATTAACCGTGCAAAAGTGAAGAAAAATGTTATTATAAAATATTATTGGTTTCTTATTCTTAAACCATGTTTGTCCTTGTTACATGTGAACCTGTATTTATTGAAGTCTGGATCAGATTTCCTTTTACCTTGTGTAGCTTTTCAAGGATTTGACGTGTCACGCTATCATTTGTTTAATATTGTGTAGTTTAATAAAATGCCTTTTACATAAAAATGAATTGGATTTTAAATTAGTTCATTTTTAAGTCTTTATTTGTATTTTATTTTATTGTATTTTCCTGCTCTCTGTGACTTAAGCAGACCTGTAGATATTTTTTTGTGTCTTAACTCGAAATAATTGTGGTCACCAATATTTTTCATTCAATCAGTTTTCGGTGCCTAATTGTTTGTTCTACTCATATATGCCAAAATCTTGTTCGAAATGTCATAGCATAATAACACCCATTCTCTCTCCACACACAGATTTATAGTAACTGCCGGTGTATTCCTGGTCTGACCACAGCCAAGCCTGGCCCTTGTGCCAACACCTGCCCTCACTATCTCCTGCCTGTAATGCTCCTTATATCTCTGGCCGGACTTATTGCCAGCCTAACACACAACCCCATCTACATGATGGTGCTCAGGTGAGAAACACACGTGCATGCCAACATATAAACACCAAAACACTGCATTTAGTGTGAGAACTTCAAATGTAAGAGATCTTGAGATAGAGTTTTTGTATCTTATTTCACTCATTATGTCTTTACTTACAGGTCAGTTCCTCCAGAAGATAAATCTTTTGCCATAGGGGTTCAGTTTCTGCTTCTGCGGCTTCTGAGTAAGTAAAATACCAAAACAACTTTTATTAATTTTATTCTTTTATTCATTCTTTTAAAGTCTGAAATGCAATTTAAATTATAAGCGCAGACTGCAGTATGTGTACAGATAAACAAGAAACAGAAGATCCTCAAAACAAGATAGTTGATAATACACAGAAATAAATAGAGAACACTGGTTAATGTAAACCACAGTGTAAATGATTCTCAGATGAGAACACTTTCCTGGAAAAAGAAAAAAAACACACTTTCTAAATTGTGCAAATGTAATTGCAATACTGTAAGTACTGTAGCACCCCCTTCTGGTGATTCAACAACAATCAATTTATCTCCGTCACAGTTCCTACATCTAAGAATATTATTACAAACTATCTATGCTTTTTTTTTTGGTATTTTAGTGAATAGTTATATATTTGTTTACATTTGTAGTAAAATTATTTCTCTCTCTCTCTCTCTCTGCTTAGCCTGGCTGCCAGCTCCAGCTCTGTTCGGGATCACCATAGACTCCACATGTATCTGGTGGAAAATTGCTTGTGGAAAAAAACAAGGATGTGGTTACTATGACAACAACCTCCTTAGAAACAGGTAAGAATATGTTCTCTTTTGACCTAAATGCATTACGGAGGTACATTTGTGTCAAAAAAAAAAAAAGGTAGATTTTGAGTTTAAACAAACATACACACTGAATATATTCAGTCAAACAAGGCTAAAAAAAAACAGAAAGCAAACTATGCTAATTAATGTTAATAGACTATTTGGTAGCACTGATGATGATCATGATGACTTGTTTCAGGTATCTAGGACTTCAGGTGGGCTATAAGACATTAGGCATTGCACTCCTAGCATTTATTGGCTGGAAAATGCACCGGACCAGAGAGTACAGCTTAGAGAAAAAGCCAGAGGGACCCCTGTGATGCCTCAACCCTGCTTGGCCCGTCACATCTCACTTTTGAGAACCTTCTCAGTGAGTTGAGCCCCTGGATATTTCTTGGCTAGAAACCCCATCCTTCCAATACCTGTCTGGAAATGGGATGAATTCAGTTTGGATATTTCTCATGTTGTACACTAAATTCTTGAGTATTTATTTCTGCCGGCATGCAAGCGGGGCCGTAACTGGACAGATTCAAGGACTTTCCACTTTCACAGTGATTTTTGGTATTAACAAATAACTACATATAGTGCTCAAAACAATTTATAATTCTCATAGCCACAGTTTCCATCAGCAGATTATTTCGCATTTAGGATTGTGGCACCTTTGGGGAGGACACAAAACATAAGAGATATTTCTATATATTGTCCTTAACTTTGATTAATATATAATTGAATCATGATTCAAAATGGTTTAATGTTTTTTTTTTTTTGTCCATATATCTTCTCTTCTATTTGAAGACTATGTGAAGGATGTGGGGTGCTCTTTATGCCCAAATGCACACAGATACACGAGTGTGTCAAATATCAAACTGTGTGAGTGTTACTACCAAATGTGAAGACATTTTGAAAATAGGCATTAGATGTTTGTAAAATATATTTTTATACCTGATATTGCTGTTTTATTATACCCTTTGTGCATACTTTGTTGTTGTTGTTCTTAATACAAATGACAAAATGCTTTTCTAATTGCTGCTTGGAGTAATGAATCGTGACTTTCTGATAAGTCTTTATTATGCAATATGTAACATTTATTTACCAATGTATAAGTTATTTCAAATATAAAATTTGTTCACAATTTGTAGCTTTTTTTTGCCATTTGGCTGATCTTTAATGAAAGCCCACTTCTGCCACATAAGAAAAAAAAAATCATAATTGGGACATAAAAAGTCTTGACTTTATCCAATAATTATGACTTAATTTAACTTTGCCATAATTTTGACTTTTTATCCCATAATTTCAACTTTGTGTCATAATTATGACTTTATTTCGTAATTTAGACTTTTTTCATAATTGACTTTTTATCTCACAATTTTGACTATATCTCATGACGATGACTTAATATCTCATAATTTCAGCTTTTATCTCATAATAATAACTCTATGTCTATTATGAAAAGTTATAGGCTAATTATGATTTGCCAACTTCTGATTTCAATGCATGTAGTTTCAACTAAAATGAAATAACAAAGAACACTAATGGCACAGCTCATTTTGCGCTATATAATACAAAAAAAAAAATATATATATATTTTAGGACATGCACTTATTGTATCTGGGGGTTGTCAAATTTGTTAGTTTCAACTCATATTGTACTGGATATTATATAGCATTATCATTAATACTATTAAAGTTACTTGTTATATAAGTTATGCAAACAAATTTACTAAACTTGCACAATTATAAGTTATCAGTAATTGGTTGGTTATTGTAATGTTTTCGTTTTCTCTTTTATTACCACAATGGGAATTCTTTCCAAGTACCCCCGGGAACCCCCTTAAGCACCCCCTAGGGTACACATACAGTAGTCCTACCCCTGGTTGGGAATTACCAGTTCTGAGATGTAACCGCTACTGAACCCCAAGCACCACCCAATTAACAAATAAATCAAGCAGTGTCAAAGTATGCCAGTATTTAAACATAGATCTATATAGACTCTCCAGTGGGCGATACGACATGACGTCATGGTTGATAGTTGCAGACGTCACGCTCCGTGGGTTGATACAGCATTACGTCTTGTATGTGCGAGAGAGGGAGAGAGAGAGAGGTGAGGCCGCGCATGCGCAGCCGCTATTAAGCCTGACAGCCGATCCAGTGCAGCATTCCCGTTTCCAAACGCACAGGAGCGCCGCTTTTTCCATCGCGTTACCCCATCCAGACATTTACACCGGTGGGAACACGCTGTTAAAAAACAAGCCCTCAAACATGTCTGTGGGTAATGACTTTGGAAACCCTTTAAGGAAATTCAAACTCGTCTTTCTTGGAGAGCAAAGCGGTGAGTGTCATATTGGAATTGTCAAGGGAAGTTTTAATAACAAGCATTATTATTGATTATTTACTTGCGTCTGTATACACCTGCTTGACTTGAACATGATGATACAATTTTATTAAACATCGAATTCATAGGCCAGTGGATCTAGTGTGGCATATTATTTGATGTGTTATGGGATTCACATATCTCATTTGATTAAAGTTTAATATTTCTGATAAATAAGCACTCTTATCAGCCTTTTTGTGGTTTTTGTATTTGTATTCGTCCTTCAGATATGTATTGCTGAATTGGCAAATGGGCCACTTATTTAAATAATAGCCTAATAAAAAAAATCAGTTTAACTGATTATCAAGTTTAAAGACTTTTAAAGTCTATTTAAAGCTATTTAACTCATTTTTATTTCATAATATTGCTTTAATGCTTGTTGTTAATGTAAAAATATAAACTATTGATGTAAATCACTGGATTTCATTAATTTAATCCAGTGAAGGGCTATGTACTGCAGTCAAACGTCTAAAGTCTCTGGTTTTTAATAATGTACAATCAAGATGGTATTAAAGTTTCATAAATGCCCATTTGAATGCATTTGGAGACTCCAGTGTTGTGTAAAATTTAGCTTGCATACTTACAGAACAGAATGAATAAATAAATAAATAATCTGGTTGTTGAGACACACCCAGTGTGTGCCATTGAGAGAACTTGTCTGCAGCCTGCAGACTCTGCCTGGTATTGTTTCTCTATGATGGCAGTGATGACTGGGTCAGTTATCCATTGATATGGTTGAATGAGTCCTAGCGTTGCAAGTGATTTGAGTAGGTAAGTTAATGTTTAGCAGGGTAACTCAGCTCTGATTTCCCCTCACATTCTGCCCCCTGTCGTCATTCAAAACCTCCTACCAGATGAATTGAGCCTCCAGAATGTCTTAGCTGTCCTCAGATCTGTGGGACTTAAGTCTGGGATTGCGCTGCGGAGAGTATGATTCACACTGTGAGAGTAAACAATGGATGCTGCCATGGTACGGAGGCACTGCTTCTCTCCAGGGATTCTGATCCTGGCTTTATTTTGTTGTCTCCATCTGAAGCCTTTCAGAGATGTTGTGAAGTAGCAAAAAGACCCTCCTCCCAGCTTTTTGTGGATTTCTCTGGGTGTTGTTGATGATCACCATGCAGAATGTGGATCAGCTTGTGGATCTGTTCCAGTCGTTACTTCCATAAAGTCTCAACTTCTTAGGCTGTGGCAGCAGAGTTTTTATCACTGCAAAGAATTCCACATTTTCGTCAGTAAAATTAGAAAGAATATTTATATATGCACATTGCACACTGTATTTAATGTTTTAAAATGTTTGTCTCTTATGCTTAAAAATACAGTATCAAAAATACAATAAAAACAGTATTATTGTGATTTTAAATAATATTTCCATTTGAATATATCTTAAAATGTACTTTTATTCCTGGATTTTTCGTCAGTGTCACATGATCCTTCAGAAATCATTTAAATATCATTTAAAAATCATTTAAATTTCCTATAATCAGTGTTAAAAACAGTTGTGCTGCTTAATGCTTTTGGTGATAACTATGATACAGTTGTTCAATTTAATGTGTTATGTAATGTAAATGACCCCGAACATTTGAATTTTATTGAATTTTATTCTATTTTTATCCTTACATTTTCTAATTCAGTTGAATTAATCTGTTGTAATTTATAAATTCACCAGAGTTTGGATTTGCTGACAAAAGCCTTAATGTTGTGTTCCGGTCATTTTGGACCAGAGAAAATTTTATTTTTCCCAAAAATGCTAATTAATGTTATTGCATTGGACTAAAACTTAATGATTTTGCTCATACAGGGTATGACAACTTCTCAAAAAAATTATAATTTTTGTACTTATTTGAGATTTTTTTTCCCCATTATGTTACACTTGTGATGTTCCCTGTCAAAAATGATTGGCCTACAAAAAATTGCTTGTTAATTTCTTGTTATGGTATATAATCACCAAATATTGGATTCAATATTTTTATCAGCTTGTTTTGTTTTTTGTTTTTATTTCTTGTTTTATTAGCACGTTTGGTATCTCTTTTTGGATCTAATTGAGGCCTTATTGATCTGAGTTTATGCATCTCAGTTTTTGAGACAATATTGTCAAAATTATACACAAATAATTTAAAATATTTTTTTCCCCACTCAAAAAGGTGTTAAGGCTTAGATCAATGAGGCCTATGACCAGTCAGTTACAAAAGGAAATACAAAACCTGTGCTAATTGAAAGAAAACAAGTTGACAAAAAGATTGAATGCAAGATTGGGTGATAATATACTCTAGCATAATGAGAGATTTACAAGCATTTTTTAAGAGACAGGACATTTTTTGACCGTGAACACCAAATTAGGTACAGGATTTTCAGCACTGCACAGGAGTTAAAACCTTTTGTCTGTCAATCATGACATGCTTAAACACAGTCCTTTTTGAAGCAGGTGATGTGCTGGTTTATAGTCAGAGTCATCCAGTTATTGAAAGCCTCCAAGACAGCTGCAATTACTGCAGAAAGGCTTTAATGTGCCGTCTGTGACTTAAGGGAGAGATAAGCTGAGAGGATTCATATTGACCAGTACAGACAGTGAAGTGTGTGTTACCCAGTATCACTGATAACAACAGTAAACTACGGTACCCTGTTCTGTATCAGACAATATCAGCCATGTTGCACTTTAGTTAATAAATTATCATTATTATGATTATTTTGGTTTGCATCCCTGTCACTGATTTAGGCAAATGCAGTCTCTGATTACAACCTTTGCCAGTAAACACATTGTCAATATGTGTGTTGTTGATGTTGAGGACTGGCAGCAATGTTTCATTCCACATGTTCTTTCTCTCCGCCTCTTATTTCCTTTAGAGACACTTAATGCAACCATTTGTAGAGCAATTTGAGACATGGTATTGATTTTTCTCTTCAACTCTTTTTTTTTATGACTCTTTTTGCCCTTTCTATGCACATCAGCACACATCTGAACAAAGATAAGAAAAAAAGCCTCAAAACCCTCATTAGAATGTTAATGCATAATTGAAACGTACACCAAACATTAATGGATTCTAGTTTGGAGCCTACCGTACAACCTTTTTGAAACGTGTTCAGTATTGTGCTACTTTAAAAAGATAGTTCACCCAAAATGAACTTTTTAAAATTTATTTATTTATTTATTTGTTGCCATAATATGAAAAAGGGGTTTAATGCTGTTTTGGATCCCATTGAATTTCACTATATGGATTTTGACTTTCCCATTGATTTTTATTATATAGTAAAAAAAAAACCTTTGTGTTAGGGTGTGTGTGTGTGTGTGTGTGTGTGTGTGTGTGTGTGACCTATCCCTTTTAGGAATCTTGACATAGTTGTTTTATTTAGGAATCTCTTGATTTAGGTTAAATTTGAAACTTAAAAATAGATGATGAAAAGAAGAAAATTATACTTATTCCATTTAATTCCTTCAGTTTCAAACCTGTGGAACACAAATTCACAAAGATCTTTCTCATACAATGACATTTCATTGTGACCATGGGAGGTCAATATAAAAAAAAGCTCAATAAAAGCACCATACAAGTATGTGACTTGTACAATATGTTCCATGTCTTCTGATAGCTTTGGGTCAGGAACAAAGCATACATTTAGGCAGCATTTACTGATGTTCTTCTCCTTCACTGCAGCTTTTGAATCAAATATGGCTCCTAAGATTCAAAACTAGAACATATTTGCATATCACTATGCAGTAGACCAATTCCCTGGGGTCTGATGCCAGTGCACGCATACACTGCGTTGAATGCTGTTGAGTGCACATTTCACCTATCTGCCAAATGTGTATAAATATATTCCTTTCAGTGTAAAGTATAATGTTTTCAGGCCCAATACTGCTAATGTCAGCATATTTCTTAATTCCCACACACATTGCAAATGCATAGTCATTACCAGCAATCAGCAGTTGAAATAAACGCAAGTCCCATCTGCACTTTGAGCGGCCAGTTTGCATGGGCAGCATTTTGTTAAGCAGGTGCGGGTGATTACTCGATTGAGATATTAAAAGTGAAGGGAAGTCAAATTTGGTCAGTGGATAGATGCAGTATGGAAATGGAGATAGTAGAGAAGTATAGGGACTGCACGTGAATGAAGATAATCCAAAGTGTGGAAAGGAGAATGCTGCTGCTCATATATCTCATTTAAATGGATCTGGATTGGGGAGGTTTTGCGAGAAGCTGTCCAAGGTGCTGAATACCCCTCTTCCCCCGACACCCCACCCCACCCACCCCCATCCTAACTCCCTCCTCAGGACACATGAGAGCTGTTCTGACTTTAGGTTCCTGGTTGGGGTTGAAAAGAAAGTAGGGCTCTGAACACATCTCCAGTCAGTATGAGGAAGATAGTGGAGCGTTATCACACTGCAGCACACACTTCGCCACTTCTGAAACCTTTCATGTCTCGTTTTTTAATGTCCTCCTACCTGGTTCCAGACATACTTAAGCTGTGTAAATGCAGCTAGTTTGACTGGCTCCATGTTGGCTCTGTTTCCTCACTTGATGCATGTTGAATATAACTGCAGTCATGAATCCTGGCTGTTCAGAGGCCATCATTTTATTAATGGCATGGACTGGGTTGAGGGAAGCGGAAATGGCAGAGAGAGAAAAAAGAAAACAGTGACTTGTCGCCATGTTCCAGCCCACAGAGCTCTGATACAGCCGTCTGGAGGAGTGTCATGTGGGAGTTCTGCATTATGTTGGT